AATACTGCTTATACATTACGGAGGGGACTTCCAGCAAGAGTGTCTCCTCGACCGCTACGTTGTCGTCTTTTATTTATTTATTTTTTTTTAGAAATGAAATAAAGTTTTAAAAGAGGAGAAAAGAGAAATACAGAAAAAAATAGACACGATAATCAAAACACAAAATTCCTTCTTCAAAATAAGGAAAGAATTAAAATTAACAAGATATAATTAAAAAAAAAGACAAAAAAAAACTTGGTTCAAATCAAAAAACAATTCGACGTTCAAAAAGTTTTTACTTAAATGCTATAAAATGCAAAATAATCTAATACAAAAAAAGACGAAAAAAAGAAACGAAAAACGTAATATATAAGCGTATAAAAAAGGTCTTTTTTTAAAATTACAACAGCAAAAATAGGGAAAAATACGACATGGATCGAAAAACGTATAAATAACAAGTCTCTCGATTTAAACCAAAATGGCCGACGTTACACGAAAAAGCAAATATTGCTAAGAAAATTAAAGAAACTACAAATAAAACAACGGAAAGATAGCCAGGAAAATAAAATATCGAACAGGTCTGGAGATCAATCAATTTGTCGAATATCTTTCAGAGCATATTATGTATCATATGGGAGTGTATTATTCTACTGGAAAACACATTGAATGTCTTATTGACATAGATGGCATCTCTTCCACAAACAGCAAAGGTTAACGAGAATTAGAACTTATAGTACGCAGTAGTAACCTGATGTTGGTTTTCGATCTGTTCGTCGTGCACATATACGTACAAAAAGGTTTCGCACGCTGTGCCTATGTTACATACGTAAATAATTATCAGTTGCATGAAGGTAGAACTTACTTTTTTCGCCGAACATAAGAGACCTTCTTTCAAAAGACGCGATGCCACACTCACAACAGTACAAGAACTATGAAAAACCATTTTGTGGCTTGAGTAAAGGTCTTGCTAAAAGATTCCTGACAGGTTCTGTTTACATTTTTGGAGCTGCATGAGCTTGGATATCTCATATGGACGCCGTTCTGTCTCCCACGGCAGCCCTCACAATGCGTCGATAATGAAGAATGTCTGTATTGTGGCCGTCCAGAATACGGTATATGCATATAGGAAAATTTATTTGACACCTTTTGCCAACATCGAAGTATCACCGTCGCGCCATAAGTAACAATTCTCTGAAAAGACGCGTCAGCATCTCGCAGTCCGACTGTCCGATAGCGCTCAGAGTTCTAACGGAACAAAAAGGTCCAGTTTGGCTCTCCATGACTTGACACCTAATCGTACTGATCTGTTTCAACTTACTGAAACTTATTGCAGTATAAGTTACCTTATAAAATACACAGTCTATACACTGTTGTGAGCGATACTACGATACAAAAGTTGAGAGGTTTTACCATAAAATCTACAAGTATCTAGCATGCGAATACTGTAATCAAGTAAAAATCGGTTTCGTCTCTTAGGATGTTTACTTTTATTTTCCGTCAGTCTATTAACGATACACAGCTTGATAGATCAAATATTAAACACACCGTATATATTCAAGGTTAGTGTAAGTTTTTATGGTCAGTTTTTTAAACAAAAAAATAAAAGGTATCTCTATATACAAGTAAACTGTTTTGAAGAGGCTATAAATCAGACATTTTCTGTGAGTCGTTGAACGAAAACAAAATCTAAAACTTCTTGTTAAATATTTAACGGTAAATGATTTATCTCACCATTTGTACAAAAAAGAATGAAACTCATTTATTTGCTATGAAATATGCGCAAGATGACGCCCAGTGCTGTTATTTTTGACTGCGATAGGCTTGTTAGTATTACTTAGAAGCTGGGGTTGCATTATACATGAGCTATATGAAAAAATCAAGTTTTTCACAAAAAAAAACAAACAAACTCAGGAGTCACCCTATACAATAAATAGACTTATACACTACTATATTCTGTAATCTCGGTCTTCTTTATATTTAGTCTTCATTCCTCAGTAGCTGTTTCTTTTCAAAGGCGAATAGGTATCGACTGAGAAAGTGAATTCGGCGGGCTACGTTCAATTTCGCAAAAATGCTCTCTCAATCACCTCGACTTTTATTAACAATCTTCTTTTCTAATTATTATCATAACACAATATTATCATCAGGAAAGCGATATTCTTTTGAAGAAAAAAAAACAACCTTATAACATTAACAAATTGGTTGCTTTTTGTAAATGACCCATCTCCTTAAGAATACGGTTTTTCCCGCTCTATTTTTGATGTCTGAAAGTATCGTCTGCTATATTGATATTTTCATTGAATCTGTTAGTTACAATGAATATTGTTCTCTGAAACAAGAGCAAATATTCAGCGCTTATTTTGACGTGAAGTCTTCGGGCATTGTTTGAGAAATTGGACAATCTTTCTTTAGCAACTATCCTGTTTTCAATACACTTCACTTTTATAGTTGGTTATTTATTGTTTAAAAATATTAATTGTTGCGCATTGTGTAAGGCACTTTTCATGTAAACGCTGCAGCATTTGAAATTATCGAATGTGATAACAATGTAATCATTATATGAGATCAATCAGAAAACAAGGAATAAGAACTAACTCAAATATAAGGAACGTCTCTTCTTCCACAGCAATCAGAGTTAAACTGGTCCTTGTGTAGCAGGTAATATAATGTAAGGATTACTATGAATTTGAAACCTTGGCAAAAAGTAACGGGAGACCTTGACACTGTATTTCCGAAAAAGTCATAAGAAAAAGGGAGATCTGTGGAAATCCAGAACCGTCTCCATCTTAGCGGGACATGGCACTTTTTAAACTTACTTTCCAGAAAATAATATTGTTATTTATCTCTATCTATAAAAGGCAGGCTATGTGTGTGTGTGTGTGTGTGTGTGTGTAACGAAAGCACGGCCAAAGTTTTCGACGGATTTGCGCCAAAATTTACATGCATATGCTCCAAGTTAGCGGGAAAGCCAAGACCAACTCCCATCGATAGTGGAAATAATCGATTTTTTCATGCTTCTACGGAAGTTTTCATGTAGTTTGCGGCTATTTTGTACTGGCCAGAGTGAGAGCCTATAGCTGGCTGCCACGAATATCCAGGAAGATTCTATTGGTCAGCGTGAGAGCCAACAGTTAACTGACACGAATGTTAACTAGTATGATAGCATGCAAAAAAATCTATAGCTGCATTCGTCACAAGTGGGAAAAATTAAAATCTGCATGGCACTTTACTCCAATTGGCTCGTTCGCTTGCTTAAACTCAACGTTGATTCTGATTCCACAGAACTGGGTTGGGTGTGAAAAAGTATTTGTTGTTAACATTCTTTTTTCATTCGGTTTTTCCAGTTACGAGTCCTTTTTTAAAGCTGATCGTTTTGTGTTCATTTTGTTTAGTTCTTTTTTCGTAACAGATTTAATGTTTAGTATAGAGCTTAGAAAAAATTTGCAGTGTGAGATAGACAAGAAGTAAGGCATGTAGCAACATCAGCACAACAAAGGGCACTCCTTTAAAGGCAAGGAAGGGCAAAAATATTTTAAGTCAAGTGATAGCGATTGCTGCATGAGTCGTACGATTTTTGAATCAAGCACGGGCAACGCCGGGCCAGGCTGCTAGTTGTTATCTATAAGCTAATTCAGTTTGACAGAATGCTACATATATAATTCCCCCTCCAGTGACGATTATACTCATGAATTAATCATACTGTTTAGCGTGTTAATGTCTCCTTAAAAACTTTTTTGTAAGAAAAACGGATGTCAAATGTTATGAAATATGGAAAACATTGTAAAAAAAAAATTAAGTTAAAAGCCCAACAGGCGCATTAAAACTTGAAAATACAAAAAATTAGGCATGTGCAACATTTTAAATATATAAGAAGTCTCTTAAGAAAGGACGGAAAATGCAATACTGAAATCCAAATGCATAATGGGTTAGCGAAAGATGCCTTCCAAAAGCTATGTAAAGTATCAATAAAGAGTTAAATTTCGTTTGAAAAAAGAAAAGAATACTGAAATGTTATATCCGTCCTTCTACATAGCAGTGAAAAGACTTGAGGCAACAGAAATGCGGTTTTACAGAAGGATGCTGAGAATAGCGACGAATTTCATTGAGAAAATGAAAACAAAAATGATACTTATACTATCCATTAGAAAGAAACAGTTGAAATTTCTAATGTCCATAATGAGGAAAGAATGCTTAGAGAATTTGGCACTCACAGGGTATTGAAATTAAGAGGGGCAGTGGAAATTAGTGCATAACCTAGGTAACCAACTTATGTAACAGGGATTAGGAGAAATCGCAAAAAATGTCGAAATTAACTAAGAGCTCCAAAGACAGGAAATTGTGGAGGGCAGTAATCGCCAATGTCCAGAAAGGACACAATTGATATAAGAAGAAAATACGATTAATCTTTTTTTTTCCGTTGGATTCGGATAAAGTATTTGACGTGTATACATAGAGACCATTTTTGTAAGGTTTCTTTTTTGGGGGGGGGGTATTATGACTTTATTTTGGTCTCCGGCCTTCTTCAGGTGATTGGAATGTCGAACTGAACCCTTTATTTCCCTCACTGTGGTAGACTGTTCTAGTTCCACGTGCCATGTATAATGGATGTCAGTTATCAGTTATCTCCTGTTAATTTTCCCTCTGCAAGTTCTCCACTGCCTTAACCAGGTAGTGAACTCACACTCCTTGTGTCCTGTCACTGGATCTGACCAACGCCTTTATCCACTGTGCCATGTGTCCTTGAGGACCTGAAGAAGGCCGGAGCGTACAACGGCCGAAACGTTGTAATAAATATGGCGACAATGATTAGGACAATAGTTCGAATAATGTAAACAATGCACATAATACCTCATCTCAGAAATATAGACAGATAATTAACCTATAGAGGGGGGAATAGATTCATACCTTTCCCAAGGATACATGCGCTTAACTGAATATAACGGTCCCAACGGGACTTGAAACGCGGCTCCCCGATTAACAATTCCGAGCCATTATCCATTACATTACCCGCACATCTAAACTTACAGCACCTGGTATTCTCAAGTGGTCACCCATTTAGGTACTGACTAGGCTCGACTTTGCTTAACTTCAGTGATCATAAGAAAGCTCGACTCTCCGATTAACAATTTCAAGCCATTATCCATTACACCATCCGCACATCTAAACTTACAGCACCTGGTATTCCCAAGCGGTCAGCTACGTTGCTTAACTTCGCTGATCATACGGGTATCGGTGTTGTAACGTGGCATGGCCATTTGACGACCATAGATTAAGTACGTTGATGATGATGATGATTATGTGGAGGAGGATGTCTAAAGGAATAGAGAGAGAAGGAAACTCTCCAAAACAATCAAATATCAAAAGAGTGACGCCTTTGTCTGAAGTTCCTATGTTTTCAAAGCCATTTCACCGACTTTATTACAACTGGAAGAAAAATAATTTTAAAACCCAACGATCAGAGAGAACTAGAAATTGCTGCCGTCTATATTACCATAGGGCCCCTTAGCACATTCATAATTGCTCTCAGAGATAGCTTATCAGAAATAACACTCGAAATCGTATTATTAAATTTGTTTGAATCAAAAGGTTTTCTATTACAGAGATATTTTCTTGAAATCGGTTCCTTATTGTGTCGACCAAAATTATAAGCTGATATAAGAATGCAACTGAGACGAACCAAACAATATTAGTATTGATCAATATGTGTATATGTTTGTATTGATCAATAAGGACCATATGGTAGTATTGATCAAGACGTATCTACATTAGTACTGATCTATAAGTTAAATATGTTAGTATTGATCAAAAAGTATATACATTAGTATTGATTAATAAGTGTATATGTTACTATTGACCAATAAGTGTATATGGTAGTATTTATGGAGAAGTGTATACATTAGTGTTGATCTATAAGCGTATATGTTAGTATTGATCAATAAGTATATACATTAGTATTTATTACTATGTGTATATGTTAGTATGGATCAATAAGGATATATGGTAGTATTGATCAATATATGTATTTGTCAGTATTGATCTATAAATGCATATGTTAGTATTGATCAATAAGTATATACATTAGTATTGATCAATATGTGTATTTGGTAATACTGATCAATAATTGTATATGTTAATATTGATCATTAAGTGCAGATTTTAGTATTGATCAAAAAGTATACATTAGTATTGATTAATAAGTGTATATTACTGTTGATCATATGTGCATATGGCAGTATTTATCAAGAAGTATATATATATATATTAGTATTGATCTATAAGTGTATATGTTATCCTATAGGACCGAGACCGCCCTGCTATTCAACCAATTAGCTCTAATGTGGGAATAGAGATGGATTGATATCATTCTCAAAGGTATTTGCGCATAAGGTGTTATAACTAACCAGACTGGAAGTCGAACTCAGTTCTCCAAATTCTCAATCTGAGCCGCCACCCACCACACCACATAACACATCCCATAGCAATATACTAGAATAAAAATAAATAGACGAGAAGATTTTTTTTTTTTTTTGTGGTGGGGTAGATCTCATCCGCCATAGTTTAGGCTTTTTTTTCTCGATATTAAATCGAGTTTTCAATTTTACACTTCGAGGAAGCGATGTATAATTTACTTTTCTCTCCATATTAAATCGAGAATTTTCAATTTTTCACTTCAAGGAAGAAATGTTTAAAATCTTTTTCTCTTTATACTAAATCGAGATGTTTCAATATTTCACTTCAAGGAAGAAATGGTTAACATGTATTTCTTTCCATATTAAATCGAGAATTTTCAGTATTTCACTTCAAAGAAGCAATGTTTAGTATGTTTTTCTCACCACATTAAATCGAGAATTTTCGATTTTTCTCTTCAAGGAAGCAATGTTCAATATCTTTTTCTCTCCACATTAAAACGGGAGTTGTTAATTTTTCACTTCAAGGAAGCAATGTTTAATATCTTTTTCCATGCATATTAAATCGAGAATTTTCAATTCTTCACTTCAAGGAACCAATGTATAATATCTTTTTCTCTCCATATAAAAATGAGAGTTTGTAATTTTACATTTCAAGGAAACAATGTTTAATATCTTTTTCTCTCCATACTAAATCAAAGTGTTTCAATATTTCACTTCAAGGAAGCAATGGTTAACATGTATTTCTTTCCATATTAAATCGAGAATTTTCAATATTTCACTTCAAAGAAACAATGTTTAGCATGTTTTTCTCTCCACATTAAAACGAGAATTTTCAATTTTTCACTTCACGGAAGTAATGTTTAATATCTTTTTCTCTCCACATTAAAACGAGAGTTTTTAATGTTTCAATTCAAGGAAGCAATGTTTAATCTGTTTTTCTCGCCATATTAAATCGAGAAGTTTCAGTTTTTCACTTCGAGGATGCCATGTTTAACATGTTTTTCTTTCCATATTAAATCGAGATTTTTCAATTTTTCACTTGAAGGTAGCAATGCTTAATACGTATTTCTATCCATGTTAAATCGATAAATATATATATATATATATATATACTTGTTTTCCTCTTAGATAGTTTCATGGTTCCTAGTGGTGGTAGGAGTCAGTAGTTGAGTCTGTTGAAGCATATATCGGCAGGATTGGTCAGTTAGTACTGCCCAACGTTATCCTTACTTTGTTACAATGTTTTTTGTTCTTTTATAATAATACCAATAATAATAATAAGCATTATTAATATTATTATTAATAATAATAAAATAATAATAATGATCATGATCATAAGAATAATAATAATAATAAAAGTCATAATAATGATGATAATAATAATAGAGAAAATTAAAAAAATTCTCAAAGTATAAAGACATGGACATCGAAATAGAAACAATATGTAAACGGAAAAGAAGAATAGTACCAGTCATGGTAGGTGCGCTTGGAATGATAAAAATGGAACACAAAAACACATTGAAAATTCCCTGGAAATCTCATGCAAAAGAATTTCTTGGCAAGTCCAGTCGACACAGCAAACAGAATTGTGTCCATGTAACACGTGATGTTATGGGAGCTAGAAAAACAAATCATGAAATGTAGCCATAACAATACACTACTATATGCCTAAAGCTTTCCCGTAGACTTGGTAGGCAGTGTGATCATAGGAGAAATCAGAATATAATGATGATTATATAATAATAATAATAAAATAGTGATAGTAACAATAATAATAATAATAATAATAATAATAATATAATTGTTATCATAATAATAATAATAAAATTAAGAATTATAATAGTGACCAAAATAATAATAATATTAATATAATTGTTATAATAATAATAATAGTGACAATAATAATAATAATAATGTAATTAATAATAATATTAATAGTCACCAAATGGTAGACTTATAGATTCTTAAAAACTAAAACCGTTCCCATTGTGGCTGGAGCTTTGGGTCTGATAACGAAATAAACGCAACAACAAATTAACAAAATCCCTGGTAAACTATCTGTCCAGAAAATAAAGAAGTGTCCGTATCCTGCGAAGAGCTTTGTCCAGTTAGGTATTTTTTTGTTTGTTTGTTAATCTATTTTGTATTTAATTAAGCGGAAACAATGAAAAGTCACATCCTTCGTTACTTCTTTGTTATGATTCGACATATGATTATAAAACAAATTCAGGTAAAATGAAGATTTTTTTTAATAAAAATAATAATGATACTAATAATGCCGTTTGATTTAAATAATATTATGAAATCGACCGAGATAGACGTGACCGTCTGATGTAAAATTATAGATTACGGTACTGAGCGTTGGGGATAAACTTAGCCTACGGATGAACTGAACATTGCAGATAAGAAGCGGGAAGATTAAATTAAAATTTTAATACATTTAGAATAAGGAAGTTGCGAGAAAATATCTCCAACCTGATAACCGTTTCCAGGTTTTCGTTTTTTCTTCTTTCTTTCTGAAGAATAACGCATTTTATAATGATCAAATCAGAACATTCTGGATAAATGTTCAATCTTTGAGCGTTCTTTATAATAAAGACGTGCTACCACGATTCTCTTACCTTATTCAAAGAAATCGTGCGCCGTTAGGATGTTCACTTTCCTATTATGCATAGTCGCAGTATAAACCATAGGTAAACACCGTGTGTATTGGACAGACACAAAATGTTCCTGTACAGGCGTCTGCAACAAGGATTAGTATAGCTGGATGTGCAATGAAACAAGTAGCTACCATTATTATTCTAAGAACGTGAAGAACCAAAAATATGATACTCATTCTCGCAAGGAGGTTCCCAACTAGCGTCCAGTTGGCAGAGAAAAATAAACCGGGTTGTAACTCAATACATATCACAGTATTCATACCTACGTGGCGCTGCGAACAGGATGGAAACTGAAGATTTGGAACATTACCTCATCGAAGAAGGAATTTCTGCCAACTCGACCTTGAACTATGCTGCAACATTTGCAAGTGAAAAGCTGACAAAAGACAACTTAAAAATGTTGGATCTGGCTATATTAAAGGAGTTGGGAGTTACGGCAATGGGAGAAGCTCTTATGTATCCTTAAGCAAGCTAAGGAACTCTCCACCCAAACGACCCCTGCTAAAGCACCAGCAACCAAGCTTCCATCTTGAAATGACACCCCCATCAACAATTCAGGAAATTTGGAATTGATAGAGAAGTATTCACAAAAATGCCAACGTCTCAGACCAACATGCAATCATATAATTGTGCCAGTCAAACTCAGCTTCTATTAAGTCGAGTACTGCCCCTTTCTCTTACCAAATTCTACAGAACATGTAAAACTAACATATACCACTGACGCCGTACGAAGAACTTCCAGGCATGGATTTATGATTTCGTTACTGCTACCATATTCCATCAAGAGAAAATAATAGAATTACTCTCATAGAGGGTTTCTATCATTGCTAATAAGGATTCTTGTGTTCTTGGGAAATAAATTTAATATTGGTTATATAGATTTTTATTCTGTCTACAAAAATTCAATATTATGTCCAGAACAAAATAAGATTCATACTTCTGAATTTCTGTGATGAGGAGTCATTATCTACATTATTTAATGTCGGAATATTGCCCTCATCTTTGTTGTTATGATCACAACGTTTCAACACTTGT